ACAGCAGAGTGAGGAAATGTGCTCAGTTTGTGCTCCAGCAGTCTGAGTCTATAGCAGCAGAAATGAAGAAGAATTCAGTTGCAGTGACTTTATATACAATCATTACAAACATGACTTTCAGTAATTATGGGGTGTGAAGTTATTGGTATGATGTCTTCTTTTACCCGTGTGGAATAATTATACAGCTTAAAAAAAGAAATAAGAACTGGCTGTAAGTTTGAATTTAGTGTTAATTTTCTCTCCTTTCTGCACAAAGTCATAATATAATAGGCTGAAAAAATCTATTCAGTATATTAAGGGTGTAGTGAAATATGTAAATATGTTGACATCTGTGAATGAATGAATGAATGAATGAATGAATGAATGAATGAATGAATGAATGAATTTTATTTATGAGGACAATGTGAAATTAAAACATAAAACCATTTGATGCATTGCACCAGATTCAGCCTAAGGCTAGTTTACATCTGCAGTCCTCTTAATAATAATGTCAACATGGGGGAGCTAAAAATGACAAATAAACAGGACATTGTGAACTGAAGAGGTGTCCAGTTGAAAAACCCAGTCATTATCACACAAAGAYGGCCTTCAGTCATCAGAGCAATCAGACAATCTGCAACATCAGACAGATGGACAGGTGATTTTTAACTGAAATCCAGCACCTGTTGTCAGTGTCCTGGCAGGAGATGTGGCCACCAGTTCTGGTCACAACTTGTCAAACTGGGCTCAGGGGGAAAATAGTGCTGAAAGTGACCCTTGTCAATGTGCAGCTCCTGGAGGGCTGAAACTCTAAACTCAGAACGCCTCTGAAATATCTGGTGAATCCAGACAGTGCAGAGGTGCCTACAACGCTCTCTAGCTTTCAGTAAATAAAGACAAGCCACTCGTCACTGATTGTACAAAGAGACCGGCGACAATCAGAAGTCAAGAGGCTCATCTTTCCACACTTTCCACCCTGAGGAAACCATGTCAGACCATCGACGTATTCAAGTTAAGCTGAAGATGGGGAAACCACACCCAGTCACTTACAGAAACCCAAAAAACACTGACTGGAATCTGTTTATCAGCAGTTTAACCCAGTTGATGGATGAAAGAGTTGCCAGGATTAAAACTGTGCAAGACATSGAGCATGACCAGTGCTGTGCAAACTGATATGTCTGCCTGTCCAGAGAGAATCTGGAGGCCTTGATAGCAGCCAGTCAGGTGGACTCCAGAGTTGTCTGACAAGGTAAGGCAGCAAGATGGCAAAGACACAGATCCCAACCAAGCAAAACCAGGTGGGATCAGTATGTAAAGTCCCACAATCACTATACAAGTGTTGTAAGGGAGTCACATGGGTCTGCCATGCACCGGCGCCACCGGACCCTCTGACCACCATCCGTAGGTAAGGCAGATGAAGCGTCTTGCCCAAGGACACTACAACAGAGAGGGCTGGAACGGGGAATCGAACCCTACGGGACAACTCCCCTAACCTCTGTGCCACAGCCCCCCTTTAAGAAGTCTTCAGTTTATACAAAATACTGCAGCTATAGTTCTGATGAGAGTTTAAGGGTGTATTCACACTGATCCTGTTTAGTCCGATTCAAATGAACTCAAGTTCATTTCCTAGATCTGCCTGGTTTGTTTGGAGAGGTGTGCATCGGTCATCGAACTCTGGTGCAGACCAAAAAATCTAACTCTAGTCCACCTGATAACCCAGGTCTTGGTTCGGTTGAAGTGAACTCTGGTGTGAATGCCAAGAGGACAGGACATCGCTCCAAAAGCAGGAAGTGGGCTATATTGCAGAGCATTCTTAGTAATAATGACACTTATAGTCTAATGCTGTAAGTGTCCTTGGGTGTCCTGAAAGGTGCTTTTCAAATAAAATGATGATTATTATTATGATTAAATAGTCCAAAAGTTGAAGAACATTTCTCAGCATACAATTGCAAGAAATGTAGGTATTTCATCCTCTACATTCCATAATATCACCAAAAGAGTCAGAGAATTTGGACAAATCTCTGCAAGAAAGTGGCAAGACTGAAAACTAACATTAACTGTCCATCTACCTCAGGCGGCACTGCATGAAAAACTTACACTATTCTGTAACGGATATTAACACATAAGCTCAGGAACACGTCAAAAACCTAAAAAATATGTGACCCATCATATCGAAATGAGGATTAAGTCAAATTTGGTCAAAATAACCTAATTACA